ATTATGGTGTGTTAAATTCACTGTCAAGTATGAACTGTAATATCACAGTTTTCACCGCTTTCGCTTTGTTATTCTGTGATATCGTTGTCGATTGTCGCCTATGGTTCATAAAAGATAGCTTGATCTCTGCGACAGCTGTCAGTAAAAATCACGCCTGGGCAAGCACTAATTAGGTCGGCATGCCCATAAAGTATGACATTGACAGGTACTGTCTGTACTACTAAGAAATTCAGGACTTCATAGGCGTGATTTTACTGACAGCTGTCGCAGAGATCAAGCTATCTTTTATGAACTATAATAACTATTCTACATAAATTGATACTCAAATTGATTGTTCTTTCCCTTGTCTATATCCAAATCCTTTTGAAACAATATGTATCTACACAATTCAATTATATTCAGCTATTTTTTTGAAATTGGGAGTTTATTGCCCCATTTACATTCAGCCCTGTTAGGCAGGGAAGTGAGCAGGGCAGTTAGCAGGGCAGTATGTAAACAGGCTACTCGCGCTGACACTGCCGCTGCCGCTGTCAATGCCCGACGATCCCTCAAATGTCGGTTTTTCGTGCGGAAGTCAAAGGACGGGTAGCGCGAGCGGCAGTGAGTGTTCACATTCAGCTCCATCGCTCACTTCGCGACTAGCGCCTGGATGAACGGACTTGCGTGCCGTCTTGTTATTAAATAAGTACGATCTACCAAAATGCCTTTCGAGTAGAATAATGAAAATACAATAAAGTTTTTAGAACTGCTGGATTCAGAAAAAATTATATGGGATTTCTATGATAAAAACCACAATTCATCATCTTCTACGAATACGAATTTTCTTTTTGAGATAACATAGTACCTACGTACATAATTAATTATAAATTCGTCAAATTTATTACATTAATATAAAATTTAGTTTAAGGATTTAATAAACATTGACATTTTATTTCTAAAAACGATTAGTAACTCATATTGATTATTTATTTATTAAAATGTAAAATAAGTTAAATGGTAATATTTTCATAATAGCCTGAGATTTTTAAATTATAATTTTATTGAATTAATTTATACTGTAGTGTAATTATTAAAATAATAATAGCTTCATCATCATCATCATTACAGCCCTTCGCAAGTCCACTGCTGAACATAGGCCTCCCCCAAGTAATGCCACAAAGCACGGTCCTGAGCCACCTGCATCCATCGACTTCCTGCATGTCTTACCAGGTCGTCACTCCATCTAGTGGGGGGTCGCCCTACACTACGCCTACCGGTACGAGGCTGCCACTCGAGAACCTTTCTTCCCCATCGGTTATCGGTTCTTCGAGCTATATGGCCGGCCCATTGCCACTTCAGCTTACTAATCCGTTGGGCTATGTCGGTCACTCTGGTTTTACTGCGGATATCCTCATTTCTGAGTCTATCACGCAGAGAAACTCCAAGCATAGCCCTCTCCATAGCTCGCTGAGCGACCTTAAGCGTCCTCATACGGCCAGCAGTGAAGGACCATGTCTCAGATCCGTAAGTCATCACTGGCAACACGCACTGGTTGTACAATCTAGTTTTTAGAGATTGAGGTATACCTGACGAAAAGATATGTCGTAATTTCCCGAACGCTGCCCAGCCGAGTTGAATCCGTCGATTGACCTCTCGGTCGAAGTTGGATTTACCTAGTCGGACTATTTGTCCCAGGTAAACGTACTCGTCAACAACTTCGAGCATAGTGCTCCCAACAACTACCGGCATAGGTGTGACATGGACATTAAACATGATCTTTGTTTTGTCCATGTTCATCTTAAGACCTATCCGTTGGGAGGCACTATTGAGGTCATTGAGCATAGTGCTTAAGTCCTCCAGCGATTCTGCCATAAGGACTATATCGTCGGCAAATCGAAGGTGAGTGATGTACTCGCCATTGATGTTAATACCGTATCCTTTCCAGTCCAGTAGCTTGAAAACGTCTTCCAACGCAGCGGTGAAGAGTTTCGGGGATATAACATCACCCTGTCTTACACCTCTCTGCAGTTGGATAGGTTTCGAACTCTGGTTCTGTACTCGGATAGCCATCGTAGCCCTACTGTACAAACACTTCAGCACTTCGATGTACCGACAGTCAACTTGGCACCGCTGAAGGGACTGTAGCACCGCCCAAATTTCGACGGAATCAAAGGCTTTCTCATAGTCCACATATGCCAGGCAAAGTGGCAAATTGTACTCTTCGGTCTTCTGTACAATCTGCCGCAGGGTATGTATGTGGTCTATGGTACTGAAGCCTTTTCGGAAACCGGCTTGTTCGGGAGGCTGGAAGTCGTCGAGTCTGCGTGCGAGACGATTCGTAATGACTCTCGAAAATATCATGTAGACGCGGCTCAGAAGGGAAATCGGTCTGTAGTTCTTCAAGAGAGCGTTGTCGCCTTTCTTAAAGAACAAAACCACCGCGCTTCTGCTCCACGCCTCCGGAGTAGTGCCACCATGGAGGACGGAATTGAAGAGCTTCCGAAGGACTTCAAGTACCGGTTTTCCACCCGCTTTCAGAAGCTCCGCTGTAATTCCATCCTCGCCCGGGGCCTTGCCGTTTTTAAGGTGGTGGAGAGCCATTCTAATCTCGCTCAGACTGACGTCCGGGATATCATCGGAATAGTGTCGGATAAGACTTGCTCTTGGATCGTTACTCACACTTGCGTGTGGCTCCAACGATGATGTGTACAGCTGCCCATAGAACCTCTCAATCTCACTCAAAATCTCAGGTGTCCCGGAAACGATGTTGCCACACTCAGTCTTCAGCTTTGACAGTTGGCTCTTTCTGGCAGACAGATCTCTGGCAAAGACTTTGGAGCCCTGGTTCCGCTCGATCGCTTCTTTAATACGAGAAGTATTAAAGTTGCGTAAGTCTCGCCGCATGCATTTGGAGATCTGTCTGTTCAGTTGCCTGTATGCTGTCAAATCTGTTGACGATTGCAGCCTCATCTCCCGTCTAACAGCCATGAGATTAAGAGTGTGATCGGAGAGTTTTTGTGTTCTTCTGCGGCGGGTCTTGCAGAACTTAGCTCCGACCGCATGGACAGTTTCCACGAGCTTGTCGTTCATATCGTCCACTGCATTGCAATCTTCTAGGCACTGGAAGCGGTTACGTAACTCGAGCTGAAAGGTTTCGGGATTCTGGATTAGAGCACGAGGGGGACGGAGCGTTGACTTCATTAGACGAGACCTCTCCAACTTAACGTTTAGGTTCAGTGTGCCTCTAACCATTCGGTGATCGCTGCCAGTTTTCACCCTTGCGATCACTGAGACATCACTGAACAGTTGGCGTCTGGTCGTCATAATGAAGTCAATCTCATTTTTTGTCGAACCGTCGGGGCTCGACCAGGTCCACTTCCTGTGGGGCCGCTTCTGGAAGAAAGAGTTCATCATGAAGTCGCGTCGAAGTCTCCCATCAACACCGTGTAGTGGGTTTTGGAGGAATGTATGGCTCTGGAAATATCCTCATACATTTCCTCCACCTCCTCATCGGGATGTGCCGAGGTTGGTGCGTAAACCTGAATGACCTTCAGCGAATACCGTTTGGTGATTCTGAGTATCAGGTACGCGACCCTCGTCGACATACTCCCAATCTTTACAACGTTGTTGACGAGAGACTTGTGGACGATAAATCCGACACCTCCTTGGGACAGATGGTCGCCCTCCCGGTGATAGAACAAGTTGCCGGACTCGAGGATTGCCGTGTCCTCCCCCTCTCTTCGGACCTCGGATAATCCAATAATATGCCAGCGCAACTTGTCTACCTCTTCTTCCAGCTCTAGTATCTTCTCGTCAGTCCTCAGGGTGCGTGCGTTATATGTTGCCAGGTCGAGTCGAATAGCTTAACTAATCTCATATAATATTTAATATTATTTATGTAATAATTCAATTAATAATTTATGAACAATTTACTGTATAAGAATTCAAATAGAGTGGATCTGTATAAGTATTTAATTGTACATATTTGAATTCAAAAATAATGTTTGTACCTAACTTTTAAGCAATGCAATAATTTTAAAATGTAACATTGGGTTTGTTCACAGACTACTAAGAGGATACTACGCATGGTTTGTTTAATTAGCTGTATTTCATAAAATTTTTGCATGCCAATTATGTCATGCCATGTCAGTTCCACGTCATTGATCATCTTATGTACCATGTTTTTAAGCAAATAAATTTTCTATCTATCTATCTATCTTCTTTTGAACTTGATATCTTTTTAAATTATTAACATAATTTTGTATTGCAAGAAGACACAGCGCGGACGCTGTAATTATTTCGACGTCTGCCATAGTCGAAAGCCGAAAGTGATGTGAGTGGTAGGGCAGAATGTACACACTTCCCGCGAAGTATTGCCGGCAGCGCGAGGAGTAGTGGCAGGGGCTGAATGTAAATGAGGCTTATTGTTTGCTTGAAGTTTATGAAAATAAATTAATAACTGAGTGATCGTGAGCATAGACAATTTCACTGCACTTTCAGTGCATTCCACTGTGCATTTTATAAAGGGCTGTGGATTCTTACGGCTTGGACTGCCTGATTAAAAATTATGAACAAAGGTGACGGACAAGTCTAATATTTGTTTTTGTGAAGTTTGTTAATTTTTTCTCTATAATCATATTTTTATTTCGCGTTAGGAGTTGTTGATACTGGATGTGATTATGTTGATTATGGATTTATGAGTGTATGGGAACATTTAAAGATCAAAATAATAACATTCATCATCATCGGCAAAAAATATAACTAATGAACTAGATATTTGTTAAAAAAAATGGTAATCATTTTTTTAATTATTGTTTGACACTAAATTTCTTATTAATTTCTTTTACTACTAATTTATTATTCATTTAATTTTAATCTATTAAATAGGTACGTGTGCAATAACATCGATAATGGTCAACATCTATGTTTTGAGTAGGATAAACATCAATCTTGCCTACTGTGTGTATATGTATATATATAATTCCCCGGGATTGCAGTTGATAATAATAATAATAAGGATGATGGAATCAAATGGAACGCGCAGGATGATGGAATCAAATGGAACGCGCAAAGGGCCGCTGCCTGGAGGTCGCCAGGGCGCGTCTGGAGCTGGCGCTGGACGCGACAGCATGCGAACCGCCAGCCGAGCGCGAGGTGCTGCACGACCACCCAGCAGCTCCTCGCATCCATCATCCCCACCAGCTGGCTTGGTGTCGGCAGGGTCTTCGCGGGCTCAGCAATCGGCACCCGCCACTGGTGGAGTACGCCGCATGCGTTGGACAACCCAGATGAACAGCAACGCATTGCGGGCGTATTTTAGGGCGAAAGGGGGAGAAACTGGAGGTTTTGCGTATCGGGCAAGGATGCATCGACTTTTTGCTGAGCTGGAGCCATCTGTAACCGTCACCGAGCAAAACCTGGCAGACCGAGTTCGGTATATCTTGCGCTCAAATACATTTGATGTCACCGAACTCGAACGGCTACGACGTGAGGCTGTTCCTTCATCGGGTGAAAATGCTGCGGCTGAGGATGCGGCGCCACAACTTGCTGAGCAAACGGCAAATGTGGATGCCGCCGTGAATACGCCAGTTGTGGTTGATTCAAACGATGATGGAACAGTCGCCCAGGAACTGGAACTAGAGCAAATGAGGAGTACATTGGAAGAGGCGATTGTGGAAACGCGCAGTACGACTCTCGAAAATCGACCGCGACTTCCCCGCTTAGCCCTAAGCAAGCGGAATCGGGCTGTCGTGAGGGCTCTGAACCCAATGCTGGTTACCTATTTGGAAGCCAGCCGGGACCTTTGCGATACGGACTCAATTCTTTTTGGCGCCGCACTGGCAGTCTGCCGTATTATAGGTGCCAAACTTTCCACGGCTGGACGCGCTACTGGACAAAGTAGTGCTATCCCAGCCTGGAGAATAAGAATTGAAGAACGTATCGCAAAGGCTAGGGCCCTCATCGGCAGACTGATATGCTTCAGGTCAGGCAATACCAGGCCAAGGATTGTGCGCACCGTCAGGATGGCGTTTGCTGGGACAAATGTTAGTTTGTCCCAGCCGGATATAATGCAAAAACTGACGGAGCGCATAGACGACCTGAAGCAAAGAATAGCTGCTTGGGGAAAGCGGATTCGGCGATATACCGAGAGGTCGACACGGTTCAACCAGAATCGTCTCTTCCAGAGTGATCAGAAGAGGCTCTATAAATCATTGGAGCGACCAATAGTAAGTGGAACGGGCCCTGCACCAAATCAGGCCGACATGGTCGCATTCTGGCGCAGCCTGTGGTCAGAGCCCGTAAACCACAACGAGGGCCCTTGGACGGAAGTTGTGGCGAGTCAGTGTGCGAGTATTACGCCCATGGACCCCGTCATCATAACGCCGGATGACGTAGCTGAGGCGGTCCGTAGGGCCCCGAACTGGAAAAGTCCGGGGCTTGACGGGCTGCATCACTACTGGCTGAAGGGGTTCATGGTGTGTCACTCTGTGCTCGCCCGACAGTTTCAAGAGGCTCTCAACCAGAAGTCGCTCCCAAGCCTCTTCACTACTGGGATCACTCATTTGGTTCCTAAAGATCAGGGTGCCACAGACCCGAGCAAATACCGCCCCATCACGTGTCTACCGACCATATACAAGACACTAACATCCATTTTGAGCGCAAGAATCGCTCGTCACCTGGACTTAAATCAGGTGATGTCGCGCGCTCAAAATGGATGTCGAGGCGGCGGTCGTGGAACCAAGGAACCACTCCTCATTGACGCGGTCATTGGCAAAGTGGTGAAACGCAACCGTCGGAACTTCTCCGCCGCCTGGATAGATTACAGAAAGGCATTTGACTCGGTGCCCCATACATGGCTAAAGAGGGTCCTCGAGCTGTACAAGATTGACTATACAGTTCGAGACTTCCTCGAGCAGTGTATGGGGCAGTGGAGTACGATCCTCTGTCATCTAGGCGAGCGGATGACGGCTGCGGAAAGCCGCATAAGGATAAGAAGGGGTATATTCCAGGGCGACTGTCTGAGTCCAATCTGGTTCTGCCTCTCTTTGAACCCTCTCAGTACTTTACTGGAGGGCTCCGGGAGGGGATTTCAGCTTCGGAAAGGAGGTACAAAAGTGACCCACCTTTTCTACATGGATGACCTCAAATTATTCGCCTCCAGTCGCTCCCATCTTATGGAATTGCTAAACATCACGTGTGAATTTAGCAATTCTATTAGAATGGAGCTGGGGACGGATAAGTGTGCGGTCCTCCATGTTGAAAGGGGAAGGGTTGCTAACTCTGAGGGCATAGACTTATCTATGCCCGTCAACTTAAGAACCCTTTCCGAGGCTGAAACATACCGATACCTGGGTATGTCACAGAACATCGGTATCGATGAGGCTGGTATGAAACAGTCAGTTTGCGACGTGTTTTATGCACGCTTGACCAAAGTGCTTAACAGCCTTTTGTCCGGTGTGAATAAGGCACACGCATATAACGGTTGGGTCATGCCTGTCCTCATGTATACCTTTGGCATACTCAGGTGGACTCAGACTGAACTTAACGCCCTGGATAGAAAAGTCCGCACTACCATGACGTCCCATAGGATGCATCATCCGAGATCGTCGGTAATGAGGCTGTACTTGCCGCGGAAGCATGGTGGTCGTGGCTTCTTGAGCGCGCTCACCATGCATAATCGCGAAGTGTGCAGCCTCCGTGATTACTTCCTTGCGAGATCGGATGATCCATTCTATAAGGACGTCATTTCTTGTGATAAAGGACTTACCCCTCTATCCTTAGCCAACGAGCAATGGCAAGACCCGGCAGTGCAGAGCATTTCCGACCGGGAGACCGTATGGAAGGAGAAGGAGCTCCACGGGAGGTTCTACAAGGCTCTACATGAGCCTTTCGTAGACACAGTAGCCTCCCTCCACTGGCTACGCTTTGGTGATCTCTTCGGGGGAAACCGAGGGTTTTGTCTGTGCAATACAGGATCAGGTTATTAAGACCAACAACTATCGGAGATACATCCTAAAGGATGGCACCGTCGACATCTGTCGAGCTTGTCGCCATCCCGGTGAGTCACTTAGGCATGTTATCTCCGGTTGTTCGGCGCTTTCTAACTCTGAGTACTTGCACAGGCACAACCTAGTAGCCAGAATTCTACACCAGGAGCTCGCTCTGAAATACGGTCTCGTGGATCGGAAATTGCCGTATTACAAGTACTTGCCGGAAGCCGTGCTCGAAAATGATCGCGCCAGGCTCTATTGGGACCGGGCCATCATCACAGACAGGACTATTCTTGCGAATAAACCTGATATTGTGCTGATGGACCGGGCACAGTCAAGGATATTTTTGGTCGACATTACCATTCCGTATGACGAGAACCTCGTGAAAGCCGAAACAGACAAGAAAACAAAATATCTGGACCTGGCTCACGAGGTGACCGACATGTGGGGTGGTCTGCCGACCGAAATTATTCCTGTAGTCGTCTCTGCAAACGGGCTAATCCCAGTCAGCCTCTCGGGTCATCTGAGGCGGCTGGGACTACGTGGCGGACCGCTCCAGGTTCAAATGCAGAAGGCGGTGCTCCTCGATACCGCCCGCATCGTCCGCCGGTTTCTTTCCCTTTCCCCCCTAACCCTCGGCCGTTTGGTCTCCCCTGCCGAGGGCCTCCATCTGGTTGGGCTTTTACTTATTTATGTACTTTTATATTTATTTTATGTTATTGATATTTATGTATATTTATCTTTTCATTTTCATTTATAATTATATATTTATAGAACCCAACCAGATGAGAAAACTATATAGATACCCCATAATAATAATTATTATTATTTTATTTTCTCTTCACAAAGGTATATAATTACACATTATTTCTTAAATAATAAGGTTGTGGATAATTTTGACCTTTGTGAGAGTTAGCCGTGCGCCACGTGATTAATCAAGGTTTATGCCCTGATTAATCACGTGGCTATAGTAATTTATAATGGCTCGGTCACACTATGCTCCTCGCGCTGCTCATCGCTCTGCTCGATGTCTGTCCACACACTGCTCTATTCGCGCAATAAATCTTGACGCTTCGCACTAGGTCTCTCATCCAGAGGAGTCCTGATTATAGAGTGGCGATTCCTGGATTGCGTCAGCTTGAGTGACCATCCACTCATTGTCTTCAATGTTGGATGAGTACCTCATGCGAGGCTCCCGGGGCCGGTAGGATTGCCTGCCCGTTTTCGGGACGGGGGGGGGTTAATTGGGACTTCTTTCGCGGAACTGTTCATGTACGAATGGGTGCGGCAGACCGTCTTTGTGCTCAGTTCACGGACATCGTAGTCCGATCTGCGGAGGATGTCCGGGGGAGTGCGCTCCCTAAGTTAGCACGCAGGCTATGAGTGGTGGACGCCCGAACTCAATGGAATGAGGAAGAAAGTGTGTAATGCGAGAAGAGAATGCAGAAGACTAGAGAGAAAGGAGACAGGTCTGAGGAACCTATGCCAGCTATGGAACATTTTCATAGTGTGAAAGCGCGATAGAGACAGTTGATGGCGGACACTGAGCTGGTCCATTTCAGAAAAATGGCATAGACCGGAAACACCGACCCTTGGTGACTGGCATACCAATTTTAAGTGGGAGGTATCGTCCTCCCAGTAACGTAATAAATGCCATTGAGTATGAGCGAAGTTGGGTGGGGGGTGAGGGAGGCCATGCGGCCTACTCGGGGCATCATGGGCGTGTGCGGCTTATGGCCGCCTCAACTCCATCTGGATCAGCTACCGTTCCCCCAACAAATTGAGTGTCTGGGGGGTATAGTCAGAGCGTTGCCTGACACCTCTCCAGGACTGGACGGGATTCGTGCAAAAGTACTTAAGAACGTGTGGAGGGCCGCACCCAGGGAATTTCACTGGGTGTATAGTAATTGCGTGGAAGAGGGAGTTTTCCCAGACGTATAGCAGAATGGACGGATAGCAGTGATTCCGAAAGGTAACGGCAGGTGATTGACGGACCCCAAGGCGTATCGCCCGATTACGGTCCTTTCCATTTTTGGGAAAATATTGGAACGGGTTTTGCTTAGATGTACCCCGAGTCTAATGAGGGGAATATCTGACTACCAGCATGGGTTTTCGTCAGATCGGTCTACTGTCACGGCGCTGCAAGACGTGCTACGTACTGCGAGCGAGTCGCAGCGCCGCCAAAATGTACAGGCCAGCTTTTTAGATATATCCGGTTCTTTCGACAATGCATGGTGGCCAATGATACTATTGAAGGTCAACCAAGGCGGGATCTCATCCAACATATATCGGATGTTGGTAGATTACTTCACCAAGAGACGGGTGGTATCTTTGTTGGCGAATGCGTTGAATGGAAACACTCGACCATCGGCTGTCCGCAAGGATCAGTCTTAGGACCGACCCTATGGAATTTATAGCTGGATGATTTGTTGAGGCTGCTATTCCCCATTGTTTAGGCCAAATCGTAACAACTTGAAACTTGCAAAGGCACTCATCTCGGGCGAAGATCGGTTTGACGGGTCGAGCCGAGCGGGCGGCGAACGTGCTAATTTAGTCTAGAACAATCTTTGTCCGTGACGGCCGTGTAGGTTAGAATCGTTACGTCGCATTAAGACTGCCTCCTTTTGCGTTGTCTTATTTCGTTCATATACGTGACAACGAGGCTTTCCTTGAGTCTGAGTGACTAATTTAACTTCGATTGCCATTAATTTGCGTCAACGAGTGGCTTGTTTAGTATTTTAATATCTTACGAAGGAATTTTTGCTTGTCGGTTGGAACGCTAAACTTTGTAATTTTTTCTTGTCGGTTGGAACGCTAAACTTTGTGATCCGGGAGGAAATCGCGTTTCTCTTCGATTATAGTTTTGTGCTAAGTGACGTTAGACTTGAGTTCAGATAACGGTGAACGCCTACTGGAGTGATTGCTCCTTGTGGAGCAGGGCAGTGCATGTGGGTCTGCTAGCCGATTACATTGGTGACGTCGGGTTACATTACACACCTTCTTAAACCTAACATTTACTTGCCCCTGACGGTACCTTGTGGTCGAGCCTACCTCCGGAACTTGGTAAGTTTGTGTTTGCTTATTCAGCCATTACGTAATAATTATCCACAGGCCATTTGGGCCCCAACCCTCGGGTTGCCCGTCGAGTTGGGTTACTATGGGCCCTAGCCCAGTCGACTTCTGTTGGGGCAACTGAGGGCCGTAACACCCACCAATGTGAAGATGATAGCGTATGCAGACGACGTAACGCTCATTATTGAGGCGAACTCTAGGAATGAAAACGGTCAAGTCTGCACAGGAGCTGATTGAGTCATGGGGGAAAGGAATCGTCTAATCTTTTCCTCCACAAAGTTATGCACAATGACCCTCAAGGGCAGGTTTTTGCGACCACCTGTAAGAAGGATGGGAAGCAACTCAATAAAACACGTAGAGTCAACTAAAGTATGAGGCGTTACGCTCGATAATAGCAGTCTTTTATTAAGCATGCGAAGGACATGGGAGATAGGGCCGGGAGATGCTTCAGTAAAATGTCGCAGGTGTCGTTCGGTAAAATGTGTCGGGTGGGTCCTCCTCGGGCATTTGTTACCCGGCTCTTCGTGTTTTGTACAATGGAACCTATAGTAACTTATGCAGCGCCTGTCTGGGAGAATCAGGTAAGGAATTATACAGTGCATACGTCACTGCTCAGATCACAGAGGTCTTCACTCGTTTTGTTGACTAAGAGTTACGGGATGATCAGCACTGCGGTACTTACAGTATTAGCCGGCGTCATTCCGGCTCACCTGTAGGTGACACGTGCTGGTAAGATTGATCTTGCGCGTGCAGAATCTGAAAATGGGGAGTTGAGCAGGCGTAAGCGCGAGATTTGGGAGGATGCCATGAATGTATGGCAAGAAAGACGGAATAATGTGACGAATGGAAGAGAGTTATTCTATTTATTCCCGGACGTGTCAGCGCGACACAATGCAAATTGGGTCGTGCCGGATTATCAAGTCTCGCAGCTGCTCAGTAGGCATGGATGTTTTCGAAAGAGAATATATGACATGAAATTGGTTGAATCGGGTATGAGTAATTGCGGTGCTGCCTATGAGGATCAGTGGCAAAGCTACAGCTCCAAACTAGGGCAAGCCCAAGATATAAATTGATAAAAATATAGATTGTTGTTTTTAGCAGTTTTATAAAAATACACCAATCTCCATCTGCCTCCACGCTTCAGTTTCATATTCAGTGCTGTCAAGGACGTATTTAACAAAGCACACTGAAGGCATACTACTGCTAGATAGATTTTATTTTTATTACATATCAGCAATTGCATAGCTTCGGTGGCTTCGAAGAAGGCCATTTGAGTTTGTTTAAGCGAAAGAAAAAAATATTTACATCCAATACAATACATGAACAAAAGTAAACAACAAAAACTATGTACAAAATAAAAAAAAAACAGATTATTTACATTCTAATGGATAAGAGATAAGATAAGTGGAATCGTCTCGCTTTCTTAAGGAAAGATTTAATTACGTCCACGTAAAAAGTTGGTGAACGTTTTAATTGTACCAATAACTGTTTTTTAATTGCGATAATTGGTAAGTCTGAAATACACTCTTGACCTTGTATATTATCTCAACAAAATTTAAAGATTTTACCTTTTCCTCGCCGATTAGCACTTTAACACAGTTCAATTCATCACAAGGAACACTCTTTCCCACCATTTTCATTAAAAATCTTTAAAAAAGCATAAATTTTAAACTCGCAATACATTCGCTCAAGCTCAACACACATTGCACAAAGTACTTTTTACACAATGTAAACACTAAACATTGAAATGTGACGTGAACTTGCTAACATATCGTCGGCTCGTCAGCGTTGGCACCGCGCCTCCTCTCTCGACTAACTTCATACCTAACGTGACCATACGTCCCACTTTAGGCGGGACGTTCCCGATTTAAAGGTTGTGTCGCGCTATCCCCGAAATATGTAAAAATGTCCCGATTTGACAAACAAAAGCGTGACAATCTTGCAAACCCTGTCACCCGTGCCATCATTATGACACCGCGCGTACCAGGTTTGCATAGCTTGTCTAGTTACGTGATTATTCTGAAAAGCTACACTTTTGAATTTAAAGTTACAATGTGACAATTTTTAATTAATCTACAATAAATTATCAAATAAAATAATATATTTCCAATTAGTATTTATTTGATGTTCAGAATTAACTTTTGATCATTAAAAGACTCAAACAACTATGTGTTTTACTTATAAAACTATGTTAAAGGGTTCCAGATTGAATTTTGGTAACGGCGTAAGTATAGTACTAACATATACAATAAGTGTAATACTACTGCTACTGAGAATTTTGTGACGGAAAAACCCAATAAATGATTCTTGACCCGACTCGGGTTTCGAACTTGGGACCACATGATCAGCAATTGCGTTTACTGCCATTAGACCAAGAAGGCAGTCAAAAGTAACAAAAACACTCACGCCTGTCACCCAGAGGAGTAGGCAGAGACTACGGACTTCCATTTGGCACGATCCTGACATACCTCTCGCCTCCTTTACATCGATATATCTACGCATACATGCTCGTCGGTTAAGGGTACTTCTAACGTGGCCCATTTTCAAAATATCTCCAATTTGGTCGATAAACTTTTTTCTAGGGCGTCCCTTCCCGACTCAGCCGTTCACATCTGCCATATAAATTTGCTTTGTCACTCTTTCCTCATTCATTCTTTCTACATGACCAAACCACCGAAGCATTCCTTTCTTAATCCTGGTCACAACATCATCTTGCATACCACATTAATCTCTTATCACGCAATTTCTCACCCTGTCATTCAGATTCAACCCTAGCATATTCCTTAAAGACCGCATTTCTACAGCATTTATTCTACTTTCGTGCTTCTTCTGCCACACTCAGCTTTCACTACCATACATTAAAGTAGGGACTAACACAGCATTATGAATTACCATACGTGCCTTTTTTGACACATTCTGGTTCTTCATAATAGAGTGTAGTGCCCCATTCACTATATGCCCTGCATTTACTCGTCGTTCTATATCCCTATCATATCTACCATCCCTGCTAAATACGCATCCCAAATACACAAACTCATCCACTTGCTCAATTAACTCTCCTTCTATTCTTATTTCAATACCGTTTTGCTTTCTTCTCTTTCAAAAACCATCACTTTCGTCTTCCTTGCGTTCACTTTCATTCCCCTTTCTTTTAATTCCCAGTTTGCATTAATGTAACCATCATTTGTCAACTCAAGTCCGACCGATGACGCAAATATGAGCTTAGATCATCACGCATACAAAAGGCATTTGACGGTTTAACTCGCCCATTCTTAACCCACATTCATCATCTATTTAAAGTTTGCAAACACTGTCCATAAATAGGTTGCTAACAGCCAAGGGGAAGCTATACAGCCCTGTCTGACAATTTTTGGATGCCAAACCAGCCGAATGTAAGACCCCAGATCTTGACACAGCGCAGCACTGAGACGTCCCTATAAAGAGACCTCAATGCCTGTCAAACGTCAGCTGCTCAACCCGGTTTATATGGTTCTTGTGTTTGCCAATAAGAGAGACCACATTCCCCTTGTACACTCTGTCATACCTTGTCCAAGTCCATGAACGGATGGCAAAAATGACTATTCTGGTGCTTGAGGTTTTAATAGGCTCCCAAATAAAACTTCTCCTCAATCATGACGCATGGAAAAGACTTAATCTGTACACCCGAACGTTGCCTTTCTAAAACCCGCTTGCACGTATCCCAAATTTTTCCATCAGTTTCTTTCATAACTCTTTCAATTAACACCTAGATACAGATTTACCCACAATACTAACGCAAGATGATGGACCATTATCGGTAGTTTTTGCAGTCTTGTTCTGTGACCACTTTTCCTTTATATATTGGTACTATAACTCGAAAGCTTTACACCAGTCATCCGGTACCCGTTTTAATTCCCAACATAAATTAAACAAGGTGTACACCGACGCAGGCCTGCCACCACTCCCTCTCCAGCCCTTAGCATCTCGAGTGATACTCTATCATATCCAGCTGCCTTACCTGCTTTCATGCTTTTCATTGCTTTCATTATTTCATCTACACTTATCTCCATACCCCTTTCCACTTCTTTCGGTTTCATTAATTCAACGCTTCACTAAACACTTTAAAACTAATTCGAAACTTCATCATTCAGAATACATCCATTCTCGTCTCTTATAGCATTTATTATAGGCTGTTTTGTATTTCCCCTGACAGTTCTTACGAGTTTCCAGAACATTTTTATGTTAGCCTGGAAATTATCAGATATCCTTCTATCAAAAGTGTTAGAACTATAATAACTTTAAAGGCGTCCCGCTCTGAGGAAATAAATTAATGGTCACTAAAAAGCCGGGCTTTTTATCTCCGTACTAATTGCTATTTACACAATCGTAGTTTTTGCCACATGTTAGAAAGGGAGCGATCGCCTTCTCGAAAGCCCGGTAAAATGCCTACGTGTGCGAGGGAGACAACCAATGGCTCAATTCAACTCTCCTTATATGTATGACATCAGTATTCGTAAGGCTACGAGGTCGAACATAGTGCGTGGCTGAATTTGAAATAGTTTGAAACAGTTTACGAGTTATTTTATTACTTGATATAATTGATTGATTCTTCTTAATGAGGCAAGCCGGGCTTTTGGGCTTGTATAGAGTCTTCGCCACTGATGAGGATAGGCATCACGTACTATGGGAGTGCTAGTTGTATGATGACCTGAGATATAAGATGATGGATGGAATAGTACGCAGAAGGGTGGGTCTGGTTTACTACCCGGACCCTGTGGAAGTTAAGGACAGCTTTTGATGGCTGCGGGAGTTTGCGCATGGATGGCATGCAAGGAGAACTGTATGGAAAATCCAGAGAGGAAACTGGACCTGCCCGGAACCGAAGTCGTGCTGTGTTCGTCCAGCCCAGAAAGGGAGAGTGGTACATAAGGGACAAGGAGTAGAGTAAATAACTTGTAGAGAGTCAAAAAAGTGCACGCGGGAAAGAGCCCTGAGCAAGTACCGTGTGCATCTCTCGAGATTCGGCCTGTATAACCGCAAGGTTGGTGGGGCCATAGGAGGTGGAGGGCTCCGCACTTGGTCGCTCTCGTTTCCAACACAATGGATGTTGAAACTCTTGCAGCATGCGAGCTATGCATATTTATTATAGCTAATGTCATAAAAAGTAATATACGTTGTTGTCGCCGAGATGGCTTTTTATATATATATATATTATTTACTCATATGATAACATGACTAAATGATGATGATAGGTACGCTATTTATGTTTTTTAAATACGAGGGTGGATTGAAAAGTACTCGGCCTAACCAAGAAAATAAACATATACTAAATCAGTTATATTTTTATTTTTCTACATAATCACCATCAAGTTCAATACACTTTTGCCACCTTCCAAGCATTTAGACCGTTGAAAAAAAATGATTCTTCCTTAGAGTCAAAATATGCGTCTACAGCTGCTTTGACCTCGTCGTTTGTCGAAAATCTTTGACCTCACAAGTGCTTTTTTAGGTTAGGGAACAGAAAGAAGTCTGATGGTGCCAGATCAGGTGAATACGGCGGATGCGGTAACAGTTCAAAGCCACAGTTGTGAATTTCAGCCATTGACTGTACTGACGTGTGAACACGGGCGTTATCTTGATGAAACAGGACTTTTCTTCTGAGCATTCCTCGACGTTTTTCTTTTATTTCCTCTCGTAAACGACGTAGTAAGGTGCAGTAGTAATCAGAGTTTATAGTCTGACCCCTTTCAAGATAATCAATCATAATCACACCTTTCGAGTCCCAGAATACTGAAGCCATCACCTTATTTGTCGACAAAATCGACTTAGCCTTTTTAGGGGGTGGTGAACCAGGTCTTCTCCACTGTTTTGATTGTTGTTTTGTTTCCGGTGTACAGTAATGAACCCATGTTTCGTCCATAGTAACAAAACGATTCAAAAAATCATCTGCATCGGCTTCAAATAACTCCAAACAGTCGCGTGAAATAGTCAATCGCGTCCTTTTTTTGTTCAACTGAAAGCAGTCGCGGAACCCACCTCGCAGACACCTTGTGGAAACCCAACTCGTTGACAATGATGTTTTGAGTTCGTTCATAAGAGATGCCTATAATCTCGGCTATCTCTCTAATTTTTAATCTGCGGTCTTCCATTATTAAATCAAGTACTTTTTTAATATTTTCGTGAGTAGTTGACGTCGAAGGCCTTCCAGAGCGGGGTTCATCTTTCACACTCTCTCTACCACGCTTAAATTCTGCTATCCATTTTTTGACGGATGAATATGACAGAGCACAATCGCCTAATGTACTGACCATGTCATCACGGATGGCTTTTGATGATAGCCCCTTCTTATGGAGGTACTTAATGACGGCACGCTGCTCGATTTGCTCCATTCGCGGAAATTATGTCCGATTACTTTGTTAATAAATTTATAAAATCACAACTAATTATCGCACACGTTTCGAACTTCACACAATGAACTAGTCTGAACTGAACTAAATAATGTGGGTAGATTTGATTTTTAGAATTGAATGGATCTGTGTTAGGCCGAGTACTTTTCAATCCACCCTCGTAACACTTGACGTGCTTCCGTAACGAGCCCACGGCCAGCCACTCGCGTTCATATTGCCAGTCTTTTGACTCGCACCTGAAAAAAAATACAGGAAGCGAAGGGCATAAAGAGGAGCATGACGTGCCGCATTGTGGTCACAATACGTCTCTGCCTTCTTTCCTCACTACTTCCCATGCCACTTGACTTGTTTGTGGCCGGGGTGTGATGCCTGGGCAATATCAATAACGACAAGTCTAATCGGGCTATGTAATTAACACTAATTTAAATCTCATTACTTATCACATTGTCTGATCATTAAGAAGATTCCTACGTAACTGTTGGGTAATATGATATAACCTATACTAACATTTTTTTACGTGAGGAAATCCTCATGTACACCTGCCACTGCGGGGGAAACGAAATTTTATGTCGGACTTCTACCGACTAAAACCCCTGCGGTGGCTACCATTAGCATATAAGAGGGTTCTCTAGGCATTCGGGGCCCTTATCCCGAGCGTCTGCAACCCTAGGGTCCCCGTTTCTGGTAGACGAACACCGTTTTCAAGAGGAGAGCCTTGACGAACGTCTTCTCAACTTCGTCTCCGAACGGGA